TAGCAACTGCTTTTTGCTCTCTTGACCCATTAAAATTCCTTTTAAGTTTGTTTAAAATAAGGATTAAAATTTAACAAATAGTAAATAGTAAATAATTTTGACATTTTTGCCCCGATTATACTTTCATTAAATATTTTCTTTTAAATTTTTTAATTGATATTAATTTATTATATAAAATATATTAAAAAATATATAAAAAAGTCAAATTAAAGTTAATAAATCAGATGTTAGGGAGTATATAGCAACTGCTTTTTGCTCTCTTAACCCATTAAAATTCCTTTTAAGTTTATTTAGAATAACAATTAAAATTTAACAGATACTAAATAATATATAAAAGTAGTAAATAATGGATAATAATTAGGGTTCTGAAAAATAATTTTGTGTTAAAAAATATTTTTTATCTAAAAATTATTTTTTTATTATTTAAAATATATTTTAAGAAAAATATTTTCTATTATTTGGTAAGTTTAAAAAAAAGTGAAAAGCTGCAGCTACGTGTGTGCCCAAAGATGCAGCCACGCAGTTGCTGTTTAGGAATTGAAGATGCTAGATTTCTTCCACCACAGGGACCATAATAAACACTATGAAAAATAATGATGACTTGTTAATTCAAATTGAAAATTTTTTGTTCTTATTAAATAAGATTGCAAGTTTAAGTTTTATGAATGGAGAAATAGGTATTTAAAAAGTTTTTTCTCTTATAAGATTTGATGAGACTCAACTTCAAATTAATAGGAGTCTAATGTGCGTCCCAAATATTGGGAGATTAATACCAAAAATATACTATGAAAAATAAGAGGACTTGTTTACATTGCTCAATAAATTAAGAGGACTTAAATTTAACAAAAGTTTAGACACGTGACAATACCAGCAATTTTGTTTGACGAATATTTCCGACCGACGGCCTGCGTGATCCCCCCACCCCCTTTTTTTTTTGGGGAGAAATTAACTTCTGGATTTCAAATGCGGAAGTAAATTTCCTTTGACTTTTCCTTTGACGAAAATTTATTTCCATCGCCGCACTTTTTAAAGAGTATTCACACATCAGAAAATACAGACAAGAATTTATTTTCTGATGAATCAAACGAACTTTTAATAATAAAAGATTGTGACAAAAATTTAAAAATTGAAATCATTAATGAAATAAAAAATTTTAATTCATTAGTAGTTCGATAAAACTCTTTTAGGTAGTTAAAATAATTTTTTCAATTTACTATATGTTTAAACTTTAGCAGTTACTCTTTAATTTTAGACTGATAAGTAAAAATATTATCAAATATTTAATT